ATTCCTACTTTTTCTCATCATCCATTCACTTTGGGTCATGTTAGTTTTGTTGAAATTCGAGATGTTATTAATCAACTCAAAAATAAAAAAAGTAAAGATCCCTTTGGACTTTCTGTTGAATTGGTGAAAGGCGTCAGAAATCTAATAATCTCTCCTCTCACAAAGCTCATTAACTTCAGTATCAACGAAAACACTTTCCCTGATATTTTGAAACAAGCAGTAGTAATCCCAGTTTTCAAAAAAGGTGACGCCAATGATGTATCAAATTACAGACCTATCTCATTGCTGCCTATTTTTTCAAAAATATTCGAAAAATGCATGTCTTTGAGTATTAGTAAATTTTTGGAATCTAATGAACTTTTTTACAAGCAACAGTTTGGCTTCCGAAGGGGACGAAGTACAGCTCTTGGAGTGCTGGATCTGGTATCAGCTATACACGGGGCCTTTGAGGGGCGAGGGTATCTGGCAGGCAGCTTTTGTGACTTGAGTAAAGCGTTTGATTGTGTGGAGCATGAAATACTTCTGGCCAAGCTTCAAAAATACAACTTTGATCAATCCAGCATCTCCCTAATCAGAAGTTACTTGTCTGGACGACGCCAAGTGGTGCAGGTTGCTGGGGTGAAGTCAGATGAAAGGGATGTACAAATCGGAGTGCCCCAGGGTTCTGTCCTCTTTTATTTTTATTATACATAAATGATCTTCCACAAATAGATTTAGATGCTCATTACACCCTTTTTGCTGATGACACCACAATTGCCTGCTATGAAAACGAGCTGGATCAAGCTATGGAGCGCACTCGTGCTGCACTTTCTAGAGCTGAAGGATGGTTTTCCACCAACCGCTTATTTCTCAATGCCTCTAAGACCCAAGCACTCGTCTTTTCCACCCGTGCACTGCCTAATGTGAATGAAGCTTCCAGTGTTAAGTTCTTGGGTGTCCATTTGGACCCCGGGCTGCGCTGGGACGCCCATACTGATGCCCTGTGCTCTAGACTCGCTTCAAATGTATTTTTGCTGCGTGGTCTAACTGGCTCCGTGTCGCATTCCGTGCTTAAGCAAGGATATTATTCATTGGTGCATAGCTATATTTCTTATGCTATCATTGCATGGGGTCACAGTGCAGGAGCCACAAGAGTTTTTGGGCTTCAGAGGAGAGCGGTTCGGATATTGGCAGGGTTGTCTTATAGAGAAGATTGTAGGCAGGCTTTTATAGATAACAATATTCTTACTGTTCCGTGTCTATTCATATATGAGTGCCTTGTGTACTTGAGTAGTAACCTGAATGGTTATCGGTCTCATGCTGACATCCATAATTATGACACTCGTAACAGACATTGTTTGGTACCAAATTACCATCGGCTTGAGAGGTGCAGGAGTGGTCCTAGCTGTTTCTCAATCCATTTTTTCAACAAGTTGCCTGGTTCTTTCAAGAGCCTACCAGAGGAACAGTTCAAGCAAAAAATTAAAGGCTTCCTGTGTAGTCAAGGATTTTATAGTTATACAGAGTTTTTAAGTCATGAATTTTAATTTTAATGTGTATTAGGTTTGTTGTTATATGTATAGGTTTTGTCTTTTTAAATGCAGTTTTGTCTTTTTTAATGGAGTTTTACCTCTAATAGTTGTTTTCATTTTATTTTATTTTAATTTATATAATTGACTTTTTTGTCTATTTTAACTTTGTATTAGTCACTGTAATTTTAGCATTTATCGGTCTGTTTTTCTTCTAAATAATATGTATAGTGCTCAGCATAATTTTTGTAATTTTTATATAAATGTAAGATTTATTTATATGACTTGTGTAAGGTACAATTGTATTTATAACACCAATAAACTATTTTGATTTTTGATTTTGAAATTTACGTTTTTGTAATTTAGAGCAAGAGAACCTAAAGGATTGTAGAATTCAAAAATAAATAATAAAACTTGTAGCCCCTTCATGTGCAAATGAAACCACTTCAATTCCAGCGCACAATAATTTTATTTAGTGAATATTAATGTAACAGGTTACTTTTAAAATTTGAAATTTAACAGTTTAGTTGTTCTGGTGACACTGATACGTTTTGTAACTTTTCCAAATCCGGAGCTCTTCCGGTTGTTTCCTATGCTCAGGAAAGAGGATATATTGCTGGTGTGACATCACTCCAGCTGATCCAGATTCCAAATGATGATCTTGTGGAATGGGTACCCAGAAAAGAATATACAGTATCAGGTTCACCAAATGTTGGAACATTAAATTCCTGAATTTTGTTACAAAACGAGTATCTTGCAGAGAAAAATTGAAAAGAAATTAGTTAAATATAAAACTATTGCTGTGAAGACACTCCCTACCAACACAATTTATTTTTATAGGAAAATAATTAAATAATTTAAAAAATAAAATAAGTAGTAAAAAGTAGGTAAGTACAGCAAGATCATAGATAAAAATAGATGCTCGTTATTATTGAGCAGAATCCTCGAGCAGTCGCGCTGAACAGGCAAAACTTTTAAAAAATATAGGCAAAATCGAACAATATAAGAAAATTTCGAATAAACCTCTAGATTTTCCACAAATGGATAAACTTTAAGTCCAGGTAACTTATAAGTATCACAAGATAAAGCTGAGAGTGAAATAAATTAAATCCAAGGAACCGTCAAAATCTTTGAGATGTTTTAATTAACACATTCAAATGAATTTCTGACCTATCCGGATTTCTATCTTTAAACTTCACCTTTTAAGCAATCTCCTTCTTGAGAAAATAATCAGGGAGTCAAACAATAAATGGCTATATAGGTTTCTGCCTGGATTCAGTAACGTGTTGATAGGGATGGACACGCAAATTTGGTTACACCTACTGTATCTAGAGATAATGGTCCAATAATCCCACACTAACAATTAAATCCGAATACCAAAGCAGTAATACCTATTTATCAGCCAAAATTTTGAATTGACGCTCCTCAGAAAAATGCAGTACCACACAAAATGGAGGTTCACAATAGATAAAAAATTAAAATATATTTATATTTTAAAGGTAGATAAGATAAGATACCAGGTAATAAAAACCCAACAGTGATAGTAGACACTGATGGTGAAATAAGTTGAAAAATATTAAGGGAAAATCTAGAAATCTGGAGGAAAAAAAAAATAGAAAATGAAAATCGACTTGCCTGTTCAACAGTCTGCCAGAGGAGAGGCCTTTCAGAAAACCAATTCCCTTTACAAAAACTACTCTTGTGTTTTTTATACTTACTGCTTAGTAACCCTTGAACCAATCAGAAGACATCACTCAAACAGACACAAAAGATACTTACCGTGTTCACTTCATTAATGAAATACCACGCTGATTAAATGGAAATAGATAAAAACACACTAGAATTATTTTAATTGTTTACAAATTATAATGATTCAAATTTGGGCTAGGTTAGAAACACAAAACCATTAATTAATTAGGTCATCAAATTAAAAATAATTATTTCTGAATCAGAAGTTAGAGAAAGACGGAAATATATTTATTTGCTGAAAGTAGGATAAAGATAATTTTTTCAAATAAAAATATCAATGAAAAATAAAAAATAGTTAAAGAAACCTACCACAATTTTAAAATAAATCTATTAGGTACTAGTACATTAGTACTTTTATTGGTAACAGATATTTGCATTTATCACACGCATTTTATCATGAACAGATGGCAATACTGATATTATATTAAAATAATTAAATTTGGTAGATACTTTTTGAAGAAATTAGAAAAAAAGGGAACATGTTACGGAGATGTTAAATTTATCGTAACACCATAGAATAATACTCTTTATTTCAACTTAATTTTAGATACAAAATCCTGTAGCGAAGTCAAAATTCACGTACCTTGTCTATTTTTCAAATGGAAGACGGTGAAATATTTTAGAAAAATCACCCTGGGGAGTTCGCGAGTCCGAAAAAATACATTCCAGGCGTGTTACGTGAACTATTTTCTCAGCAACCATATGAAATGAAGTAATGTCCCAAATTAAAAATTTACTGGCCTTTAAAACAAACTCTTGAATGTATATTTTTTTAATTACCAACAGCTGCTAGACCAACCCTAGAGCTAATGTCAATCAAAAAATTACGTAATTATTTTACACATGTATTTCAGAGATCGATGAATTTTTAATTTAATTAATCAATTTTCAAAGTAATATCCCTAACTGTATTGATGGCTGATTGTATTCTGATTGACAACATATCTGATTTTTTAACAACTTGCAAAGGTATTTTGTCCGATTATATTACTTTCCAGCACTGCTCCGAAAAGTATGCACACTCCGAACGGTGGCCGAAATATGTAATTTTCATGACTTAATTTTTTTTTTAATAATTAAAGACCAATTTTGTAAATACAAAATTACAAAATGTATATCATTGTCAAGAAATTGTGCACAAATGTAGGTGAAAAGTTTCATTCCTGCCTCGAGTTAAAGTTACTACCTAATCTCTTGACAGTAATAAAACACTTTCCACTTTGGTGTGTAATAATGTACTACTTATTTCTACCGCTGACATAGTAAGTGAAGCATATATTTCTTGGTAGGATCATGAGACACTCACTTCGAAATGTACTTTTATTGGACAATATTTAGGATGTTTGTCTATTTTTTTTTATATTTATTGAATGAGTGGGTTCAATGCATTTTTCTCACCTAATCTTGCTTAATGGGGTGTGTTCATTACGTGTAGATTTGATTGGATGTTAGCATATTCGATTTTTTTTTAAATTTACAAGTTCACTTGATTAGTTCAATGCCTAATCAGATCGAGTATTTCCGTAGCAGTGAACCAAATTATCGTGTCAATTTTCGAGAGCAAACTGCACACCTGACTAGACAAGGGGCGACAGAAATTTAGTTTACCAATGCGGCCAAGCGTCGACTCAGCAAACGCTAGCTTTAAGCTAAATCGGTAATTTGTGTTGCGAGCGAGGATAAACTGTATAGTCCCTAATTGAAGCCTTGATGGTTTATTTTATTTGAAATTTTCTTTTTCAGAGTTATCGTCCAAGGACCAGCAGTTTTTTTAGCTCGAGCACCGAAGACCAAACGGTTTCTAACAGTTCCACGATATCTTTACATGAATCGGACCAAAGTAAAAAGCAAATTAAACAGCGTATAACGGCGTTTTTTGGTAACACAAAGGTAAGCGAGAATTTTTTTCTGTGTCTTCAGACATAAAATTACATTGATAGTATAAAAGACTGAATGGAAAACTTACTGGTGAATCGTTGGAATGTTCCTTACATCTATGTTAAATATACCTCAGTATGTCTGGTATTGGACCACGATATAACTCATGTGATGTTAAGGTATAGCAGTGTGATTTAAGTACTAATATTCCTTCTATTATTTCAGGACACAAAATACGAAGCCCTTATTGAACAATTGGATAGATATTCGAGACAAGGAATTCCTCAAAATGTCAATTATCCTCAGGGGCAATGCGAATCCATCGATGCCCTGTATAAGCTAGAGGACGATTGGAGAGAAATAGTCGTCGATTACAGCGGTAAGGAGTAATGTTCAACTATTGCATTTCCGTTGGTCGTTTTTGCCTATAATGATTATTTTTTGGAGCAATAAATCCCTCCTGAATTGATAAATAGCATTGATAAGAGTTCCCGAACCTGCCAATTAATTCTGTACTCGCACAGCTGGTGTTTTAACTAATTAATTTTTGGGTTAACAAGGGGAGAAATAAATGATTTTGCGCATATCGTGTAACTAATTAGATTATAAATTTTATGGATGATGTGTGAGTTTTATGTTAATATAAAAAAAAGGCAATTTCTAATCTTATATACCCTAGACCTATAGTTTTCACGCCGTAAAATTGCACTTTATAGCTTTTATACGTAGGAACATAAAAAGCTTATGATGCTATATTTTATTGCGTCTAGCACATCAATTCTATGATGGCTGGAGCATGTGTATCTTTTATATTGAACATTTTCGTTTTATAAAGCGCCTTATGGGAGAAACGAATATTACACTAATACCCTCATAAAGGAAATCTTGTTTTCAGTAGATTCCTAAACTATATAAAGTTGTGTGTTACTTGCGTGGGTTAGAGGACGGGACCAAAAATAAGAAATTTTGCAAATTAATTACCCTCTTTAAGCGAAAAAAATAAATAAATAAATAAAATAAATTGTTTCTTCCAGTACTTGCTTAAACTATTATTTGTACAGTCCGTTTAGGATGGACAAAGGCACTTCTCAACATATTTTAGGGATAGCAATCAATTTTTCCAAAAGTTCGATATTTTAAATTCGAATGTCTAGCCAACGGATTTTCACAGCTGATGTTGTTAGGTTATATTAGTAGTAGTGATGGGCCAATTAAACAATTTGACCATCGAAAATTCTTTTTTCTACAACTGTCAAAAAATGATGAGGTTTGCACACTCATGACAGTTTGCGAAGTGACACTTTTTTTTCCCAGGTATTGATTTTTTAACGTTCCCATGACGCCGTGCGCGAACTAGCTATTTCGAACCCTAGTGCGCGAAATAGCTAGTTCGCACACTGGTGTCATGGTAACACATACCTCTCAGGACACCAAAAATAATTAAAATTCACCTACCTTTGATTGAAAATGCAATTTTGGCTTCGAATGATCGATATTTAAATGGAGTTGTAGAAAAAATATTGTTTGCAACTCGGGCACGAAATACTTTGGTGATCTCGACTATTTTTTTAACTCGGCTGCGCCTCGTTAAAAAAATCAGATCTCGATCACCAAAGTAGCATTTCGCGCACTAGATACAGAAATAAGTATTATGCCCGTATTACATCCGTGTATTTTTCCGTGTACCTATTTATTCACGCAGTTCAGGGTGACAACCGAAAACCTTCAAACGCAACATACCTAAATGAGCATTATGAAAAACAAAATAATGTTGGCACCCTCAACTACATGAATAAATACACGGAAAAATACACTCCTGAACAGTAACCATTTAGAAGGGAACGTTTACAAATTATTTTAAAGTTGAGATAGAAAATGTTAATTCATTTCAGAAGTTTCTCAAACTTTTGTCATTAATAAAAAAAAATTGCATGGCAAACTGAATTTAAAATAATACAATATTAGTATATTAAAGTTTAAGTGGATATTAAGGTCTTTAAAACACGCGCGATTTTTCAAGCGAAACCCCAAAAAAGTAACTTTTTTAGGGATAGTCCAAAGATCAAAAAGATGCATATAAAAATTTCCAAGATCAAAAATTGAGAATCTGGCCTAGCCCCAAACTTTGCCAAAAAAACATGACATCCTTTACTCACCCTGTATAATTGGACAAATGAAAGAAATATACCGGTCAAACCTTGTGCGTGTTCTCAAAGAGTTGCTGAAGAACCTCCCGAATACCGCAACTCGATATCTCTTTCCGTTCCGCAAATATCGAGAATTGAATTTGGGTAAAATTTTCCATGTTGCAAAGCAACTGTCCACCATTTAGTTACAAACAATCACCAAAATTAAATTATAATCACAAAGAGATCAAAGTATGTTAAAAAGGAACTCATCATTCAATATTGTTGACATTTTTAAAGGTTTTTAGTATGTTAGTATAAACTCCACTCAGTCTGTCTGTTGTGTCAATCTTGATATCCACTGTATTTTTCAAGTTTATGGGAATCAACTCGCTCACGTTTCGCTTATAAATCTGAGATTCAGATTCTACCATTCTAACTTCATCAAATTTGAAATGGTGGCCCAATTTCAAAATGATGTTTTGACAGTGCAGTATTGTATTCATTGTATATTCTAACATAACGACAATCATACCTGTGTTGTTGAACTCTTTTGTCGAGATACTGCATTGTCTCGCCAATACAGCATTTGCCGCATTCACAAGGTATTTCGTAAACTACTGAGCTTCTTTTTCCTTCTGGAACCCTATCTTTTAAGTGGTGTAAAGAAAGAGCTAGAGGTTTTTGGATTGTGAAAAGCTTGTTTTAACTCCGAAATGTTAAAAAAATCTTCCTATTTTTTGAGAGAGCATCAATATAAAGAAATTTAAACTATTTTTGTTGAGTTTTAGTGTTACTTTTAATTTTTGTTCTAGATCTATTTAGGTATGTTTCTGTTTATGAAACTTAGGGCCGGTTTCTCAATAGCGATTCACCTCCGGGTTAAGCATAACTCCAGGGTAAACATAGCAACTGGACACGTGTACCCTGGAGTTAAAACTAACCCGAAGGTGACTAACTATTGAGAAACCGGCCCTTAGAGGATAATTGTTGTTCATTAATTGTTTTATGACTTTTTCGATGTTGGTGGTTTTAAATTCTGGGTGGCTTAGATTGATGGCTCTGTGTAACAATCCATTTATGATTCCTATTTTGTTGAAGAGAGGATGGTTTGATTAATTATTTAAAATGCTACTAGAACTAGTGAGTTTTGAATACCAATTTGTGATAAGGCTACCATCAGGTTTGCGATGGATCTCCATGTCCAGGAAACAGATTTTGTTCCCATCTTCTATCTCCATAGTGAATTGAAGTGGAGGATGGCAATTGTTGAAGGTGTCTAGTATAGTACCTACATTCGGTTGGTTCTGAGGAGCTGACAACACTGTATCATCCACATAGACAAATATGAATGGGACATGAAACTGTAGACTTTTTAAAACGAAATGAGATGATTCATGACTAGATTAGCTAAAATTGGTGACGCAGGATTCCCCATAGCTGACCCATCTTTTTGTAAGTAAATATTACCATCATATTATGGAAAGTAACTCGTGTCAAAGCAGTAATTTACTAGGTCAATTAAGTATTTTTTAGGAATATCCGTGTAGTTGGAAATTAATCTGTGATCAGAGTTAATAATATCCAAGACTATCTATCTGCTTTGGCATGTTTGTGAACAATTAATTACATCTAGGGACACTAGGACATGTCATTCAGGTACTGCGTGTTTTTTTATTACCTCTGAAATATGGAAAGAGTCTTAAAGTGAAATGTTGTTGAGGGATTGAGTATTTTGTGAAGATACCTACTTAGCTATGTTGTATCCCGGGGGGTTGACACAGCTAACTACTGGTCTAGGGCCTAGACAAAGGGAACTCCACTGTTCTTATGGATGGAAGTGAATACCACCAAAGAGTAGTTGAAATGCTGAATGACACTAACATACACTAACCCACCAACCGGAAATTTCGAACCATCGCAAACAAAATGGTTACTGAGCTAAAAACACAGAACCTGACAAGCATCAGAGAGGAAAAGAAACTAAAAAGTCACAACTCAGTTTCTCCAAAACTGAACTATTTGAGGAAGACACATAAGCCTGGTTTACATCTTAGGCCAGTAGTTAGCTGTGTCAACTCACCGGGGATACAACATAGCTAAGTATCTCCACAAAATACTCAATCCCTTAACGACAACATTTCACTTCAATATTGAAGACTTTCTCCATTTTGCAGAGGTAATGAAAGAACACGTAGTACCTGATGGACATGTCCTAGTGTCCCTAGATGTAATTAGTTTGTTCACAAACATACCAAAGAGAATAGTGTTGGATATTATCAACTCTGAACACAGATTTATTTCCAACCACACGGACATTCCTATTGACCTAGTAAATTACTGCTTTGACACAAGTTACTTTTCCTATTATGGTAATATTTACTTACAAAAAGATGGATCAGCTATGGGGAATCCTGCGTCACCAATTTTGTAACGCTCTTTTGTCGGAACAAAAAAATGCTCATAATTGTGCTCGACTATGCTCAGTGGTTCTTTAGCTTGGGGTGGTCCTTGGTGTTGGTATAGTAAAGAGACGGCGCCACTAGTCTGTATAAAATTATTTTGATTATCAATGAATAGCCAAACTAGACACTATTCAAATAATTAGCTACTATTTGAAAAGATAAATACAAAAATATGAAAAGGTAAAACAAATCCAATACCTATCTGACATTTAACCCCTTCAATAAAAACACAACCTTTGGAATGCTAAAAACAATAATTTATTGACCGGATGGTGAACTTGTTTTTCATTAACATTGAAACAAATAAATTGTTTAAAGGTGATTATTGTTCAGTATCCAATTTTATTAAAACAATTTAAGCAGCTTACGGAAAGCAAAACCTAATTTAAATAAGTATATATAAAAGATTGAAAGTTAAAAACAATTAAATGGATACTTACAATGAGAATTACCTAAGTGTAAGTGTTGAAGTCAAAATAAAAATAATATTTAATTTTTGGCAATCAAATCAATAAAAAAATCATCAATGCGGAAAGGTAATAAATAATCCCTAGGCAGTTTTGAATATCAAAAACCTGCTAGGTGAAATCAAGGGGTCAGGGTTTCCGGAAGAGCTCCGCCTTCTTACCTTAAAGTTCAAAATAGGTAAACATAAAACTTAAATTTGACTACCTAAAGATTTTACATTAGTTTACCTTGTAAAACTACCACATTTTTGATTTGAAAGTAAAAGTTAAATAAACATCTTAAAGGTTAATAAATCCACAATATATTATATCGATCAGTAC